TGATGATGATGATGATGATGATGATGATGATGATGATGATGATGATGGGGGAAATTACACCAGATAGGAATAATTAGGATGTAGGATAGTGTGTCCAGAAAAGGTAAATATTGCTCATCCCAGGTACATGGCAGGCGCTCCCTGCCACAGAGCCAGTGGGGACAGCAGAATCAAGCCAAGATTTTTAAAAAGAAGAGGAAAAAATACAGAGCTAGGTTCCAGAAACAGGTAGGCTTCTAAAGGAGAAACAGATAATAATAACTACATAATAGAGGAGTTTTAGAAGTGGGGAGAAGACTAACATTTGTAATCTATTGATGTTTGTCCTCAAAATAACAGCAGTACTAATACTTTTGAGCTTGTTAATACAATAAGCTCTTTGTATTCATTATCTCAACCCATAAATTTTATATACTCGTGTCCAGGAATTGGATTAAAACATCCCCACTCTCTCAACACCAAGGTGTCATGCACACCTTTAATCCCAGCACCGGGGAGGCAGAATCAGGCAGATCTCTCAGGTGAGGCCAGCCTGGTCTACAAAGTTTTTCTAGAACTGCCAGAGCTACATAGAGAAACCTTGTCTCAAAATTTAATAATAATAATAATAATAATAATAATAATAATAATAATAATAATAAATATAAATACAGCCTGACTCTGAAGCTCAAAAGACTCACCTGAAAAACTAAACCAAACAAGGGCTGTAGAATAGGTTCAAACTAAGAATATTCCTCCATCACACCAACATCTAGTTTCCCTCTAGGCTCCCCATGTTCCCTAAGGACTGGGCCAAAATAGAAGGAAACTGGCTACCATGCACCGATCCTGTTGCCGTACTGTTCTGCCAGCCACTTTTAGGAAAGAAGGGTATGGTGAGCATCTAAAATGGGCTATAATTTCAGAAAGTTTTGTGTTATGCAAAGCAACTTAGCAACTACGGTGCCGAAGGTCCAGATGTTGTCAAGAACTGTTGAAGAGGGGGGAAAAAAAGTAACTATTTCTTCCTTCATCTTCACCAGACATCTGCCCAAGCATTGTAATAGTTGCAGTATTAGCAAATACATAGCTCCAGAAAGTGATTACCGACAGTTATAAAGTACTATTAACGTTGTGAGATGTGGTATCATTGAAGGGAGGTCAAAGATCTAGAAAACAGATTTTTAAAAATGGAGAGGGTAATATACTAGTGCAGTCGTCTGTATTTTAAAACTTGTAAAACGTAGATTATATGGCTAGCATGGTGGAAACTGCCTTTTCTGCTTCAAATGAGCTTGTGTGGTGGGGAGATAGGCTCTAGGTTGAACTCTAGATAGGTTCTAGGTATCAGATACCGAGTTCACGTAGTGAAGAGCCTTGCATAGAAAAGAAAGTAAAAGGTTCCCAATCCTGGGTTATCTAGAAGGGCTGCACATGTGCAGTGCGGTCTGGAACGCCAGACACCCAGCCACAGCCTTCCCCGGGAATCACATGTGGGCTGGGCTTCGACTCAGAGTTGCTAGGCAACCGCGTCAGACTTCTCATTCTCCACCCCCCTCCACTATCCACTAATAGATCAAGTGTGTGTGTGTGTGTGTGTGTGTGTGTAGTTTTTGTTGTTGTTTTTATTTGTTTTATTTTGCTTTACCTTCTGAGGACGCCGCCAAGGAGAGACGCATTGAGGCATTCAGGGGGCGAGAGCCGTCTCTGAACTTCTCCCACAGTGACTTTGTATTTTGAAGTTGAACTGAGTAGAGATAAACGGCCTGGGACTGAGCAAAATACCTCGCCGGTGTTGACTGACATTCCTCCCAAGAAGCCATCTTTATTCATCATTAGAGAAGTCACAGATTTGGGAGGGACAGGAACTAGGGAGAGACGGAGAGAGGAAGAAAAATGTTTCCATAAAGGTGACCGGGCTTGAACCCAACTGACTGATGGTTGATAGGACAGGACGTGTCATCTGGGAAAGCCACGGGGCAGCCACCAAGTGGAAAGTGTAGGAGAAGCGGCTGCTCCAGTGGTTCCCAGCTGCATTGCGTTCCCAGAGCTGTGAACCAACCCAAATGTCATCATTCCTCTGGAAACTTACCTGAGATGGGAGGGCATGGGAGTGTTACTTGCGATATAGCCCTGCCCAAATCAGAGAAACACTGGACTTAGCCTATTTGGTCACATGCTTCTTGTGTGACCTTGGGCACCTAGCTGAGATCCCCAGAATAACATTGTCTCCATAAGTACTTGGGGGAGAAGATTAACATCACCATTCTCTGAGAGAAAAATCTTAATGCCAATGATCTCTGTAGAAATTCCTTTTCTCTGATTGGACTCAAATTTGTGGTCATCACTAAAGTTGGGTGCAGGCGGGAGTGGAGAAGGGAAGAGGAATAAGGGCTGCCTCTTGCCTTATAATGAGCCTTGCTTTCCCTGATGTAAAAATAACAGCAAGGTTCATTTAGAAATGCACTCAAAAGCTCATCTCCAGTGAGAGCAATTCAGCAGTGACACGAATTTTGTTTACAAATGGAGGCACCGGCTGGTGATTGTTTGGAGCAGTTATGATTTACAACAGGTGCCCTGATCAATCAACCAATCACGGTAATTCCTAAGAGCGGTGGAGGTCTTGCCTTGCCCCAGTTGTTTCATTTCAGCAAGTAATTGATAACAAACCACACTCAAGGTAGGTTTTATGCAGAAGTTAATAAGAGGTGACAGCTGGTTGCCACTGCTGTGTGCTCTCAGCCTCTCCAGCCTGTATTTCTGTTAATTGTGTTTCCGTGTCATCTGCATGTCAGGACTAGGCTGAGCTAGGTGCAAGGCTGGGGAACGACAAACAGTGAGCAGCTTCCTAAGAGTCTGCTCCTTTGAACTTTTCCTGCATGTTAACTTCTTCCGTGGAGAACTCGTTGAACTATATATCTAGTATGGGGGGGGGGAGTATAAATCTGCCAGGAAAAGATGCACTCTCTGTCATAGGCTGGGCTCTATAATTTCATGAGATAAGGTCTTTTCTAGAGGACACATAAGGCGATGCGGCATTTCTCTTTGCAGTTTACTCTTTACAGCACAGATGTCAGCATCCAGACTCCATGGTTGTTAAGGGGAGATTCCCAAAAGTTAGATGTTTATTAATTTATAGTTTATTGCAAAACCTTGTAAGAAGAGCTTTCCTTAAGGGAGTCGATTGAGACACTAAAGCATTCCCTTGGACCACTTCTTGATAGACATAGCAGAATTTCAAGACTTGTTTATACCCAAGACATATTCTAGTTGGAGGAATTGTATTTGAAAACATCTTTGGCACGCTCATGGTGTAGGGTCAAGATGCAACAAGAATTTTGATTGTGTGGACACCCTTGTTTTCACTAGGGACTGCTACCTATTGAGAGTAAAGCAGCAAAATGCCAAAATGCTTTCATCAGACATGAGTGATCTTTGGAATTTATAAGGGTGACTGTAGTTCTCTTTGTAAATGGGTGATTGGAATGGAGACATTTAATTGTTGTATACAGTATCCACGTGTATTTTAATCTATTTTCATAGCATTCTTGATATCTATATTTCATATTCATATGCAAGTCTTTTTATGCAATTTATACTACTAGGCAGAGGCATGACATCAGTTTGGGGAAGAGCTCCCCTAAGTATAGATAGCCCTTTGCAGTTTTAACAAGAGAACTATAGAAATAAATTATGTAAAAGATCTCATCACAAATGTCTGGCAACATTCTTATCTTTACCGTTGCCTAGCATATTTTAATAACCAAAAGAGCCCAGTAAGTTGACAGTTACTGTGATGCTTACTAAGCCAGTGCTCCTTAAACAGCAGTTCTTCTGATTTTCTAATTTCCAGATGTCAAATTTCTTGAAAACTTAGGCCTTCAGAGAGACATCATACCCTGTTCTTGAACTGGACTGTTGTGGACTGTCTGATACAGCTGGTAGGAGCTGTTTCTTTTAGGGAGAGCACATTACTGTTTCCGTGGGCTATGCCATGTGTGACATTCACATACAAATGCATGTGCCTGCTTATGGAGCGCACTTCCATCTTAGGAAATTCCCTTCTCCCCCCCTAAAAAAGCTCACAAGGTGAACAGAAGTGTTTTCAATTATATTTCCATGTTCTATCAAAATCGTGTTCTTACAATGAACTGGAATGTTCAGGTTCTAACACCAACTCATGCTCTTTCCCATTAGCCCAGCAATGAAGTCCCTAGACCAGACCCTGTATATTTCTCTTCCCAGCTTTCCTTCTGCTCCATATCTTCCTATCAGCTTACCTTCCCCTTGCCCTCACACCTGCTTTGCTCAGCTGATTAACCCCAAATTTCATTCCCTTCATCTTTCTCCTGCTTTTCTCCAGCTTATCAATAAGCCCAGAGAGCAACAGGGCCCAGTTGATTTGTTAGTAATTATAAGCACACTGTTCCTGCTCGTGGAACCCAGAGATGACTGAGATAGGTTTAAAGCGACAGCGGGAAATGCTGAGGAAATGGAGCATAGCAAGACTCAGCATGGAGCTTTTGGTTCTTTACATGTTTACAATTTTCTGTGCATACATTAAAAAGTGGCTCTCCCTCCCCCCACCCTGCTCCTCAGTTCTTATTTGGATGGTAAAGCCAACATTTAGATTTAACACACACACACACACACACACACACACACACACACACTCAAACACACACACTCAAACACACACACATACTTTCCTTTTCTAATGAATTATTCCAAAAAAAAAAGAGAGAAAAAAATAGAATAGTGTTTTCTGGCAGTGGTGAAGTTTTAAGAAAAAAAAGGAAGGAAAACTTGAGAAAATGTTATTCACTACTAGACTGTGTAGAGATTATTGGGCTAGTATTTAATTTCTCTTCTTAAAAACAACATCAAGGTGAAGCCTCAAATTTGAGAAACTGTATTTGATAACACCTGTGTGGGAATGGGGTGGGGAGGGAATGAACCTGTCATGGAAGAAACTGACAGTTGTGAGAGCTAATGTGGGAAGCAACCAAGAGAGTTTGCACCTTAAAAGTAATGATCAGGCAAGCTACCCATCAGCTTTGCATCCTTTTAAGTCTACTTCTTGTCAAAATTTTCTTCCACCTGTTCAGTAGGTGTATATGCTTAGTCACTGAGACTGTGTTAAGAACATGCACAAACACACGCACACACGCACACACACTGGTATACATATATATCCTCCAATACCCAATGTTGGCATCCTTTAATGACAGAATCTGAGAACCTGAAACTTGAATATAAGAGCTTATCAAGTTTTTAGAGTGTCATTTGACCTTGAGGATGTTATTTATCTTCTACAGTCTGTGTATCTGCAGATTTCCACACTTGGGGCAATGGAAAGGAAGGTCTGATCTTTCCAGTTTTGAACTTGTATGTATGGCTTCTGACTCTTCCTGCTCTGTATTTCTTTCTGTTTGTGTCTCTGTCTGTCTCTGTCTCTGTCTATCTCTCCACCCTGCCCCGGAAAGGCAAAGTTTTTGAGAGCAAACACACACCTTTACAGGATTCTGACTGACTCAGATTCTTCTTCGTGAGCAATTCCTTCTAGGCAAGAAGGAAGAGTCCCAAAAGAACCTGCTAGAAATGAGATCTGGCAATTTTTAAAATTCTTCCTCTCCAAGAAAACCCACACCAAAGTGTTTGTGTGGGGAAGGGGCCAGAACTAACGGGAAAAACATGGAAGAGAGTGGAGGTTGAATGGAAACTAACCAAACAGGATATCTCTAAGACCAATAAAAAATGCCCCACAGACACAGCATTTGAACCTTGGACTCCGGCCTCAATAACCTTTCCAAGAAATTCTGACATGTATTCTGCTGTCTAATGTGTCAAACAGATTGCATATTGGTCTCTGATTGTTCAAGCGTAGGTAAGCGTTTTAAGTTAAGCTATAGGAAGATGCAATGATCATTTATGTTAGCTGGGCACTCCCCCCCCCACTGCACCCCACCCAGATTCCTAATCTTAATGGAACTGAGAGTTAAGAATGATTTTTTAATGTCTCGTTGGATTTTTAGACTGTTAATGTACCGAATCCTTCTCATTATTACTTTATTGATTGCTCATTGACCAGCCCCCTTCAAATCGTATTAACCACCCTCTGCCGGTTTAGATTAGGAGAGTTTAAAAAGCACCTTTCATTACTCCCCCCTCTCCCCAACTCCTGCCATAGAGTTGAGACTAGGCTGCTTAATGGGAGCTCTAATGGGGCAGCTAAGAAGAGAGGGGCCACGGTCCCTGCCGATTGCATTAATAGCTCAAAGGGGGCCAATACAGAAAATTAGCCGTAAACGAGCTCTGGAGATCTTCAAATGAAAGAGCCATTTATCACGCTGGCTACCTTCACTCCACTCGTTTGCTCTCTCTACTGGGAACAACTCATTTCCTCTTAACTAAATTACTTCAGAAATGTCAGCTAAGCCCACATAGCAAACATAACAAGAGAGGGAGTCCATAATGTATTGGGTGATATCAATAGGGAAGAAAAATGACATGAGTTAAGTTTCAGGAGTGGCTATGACAGGACTGGACAGATAAATAAATCTTGTATGCCTAGGTAATTAGGTTTCATAACATAGGAGACATGTAGATGTGGGCTAGATGCTGGCTTTTTACTAATAAAATATAATTTTCTAAAAAACCGTCTAAATGCCCATTAGAAAATAAATTAAGCAACCATGTGCCCTGCTAGTTGCTCAAATTTAGAATGTTCAGTTTAGGAAACTTTTTCACCTCTTTACAGAATTAATCTCACAGAAGCATCCCTCTTGGGGATGGGAATATGCAAAGATGGGTGAAGAGAGGCAGGGTGGGAGCTAATGAACCCATAACTTTATTTTAAGTAGTTCCTGGTGAGTTAGAAAAATAAATCAAACATTTGTTCAATTTTTGCCTGTGGCTTTTAAAAGATAAAAATATGATATTTGGCTCTCTTCTTCATGTAATAAAGCACACATTTCATGTATCAAATAATGGAATTGAACTAATGTTCATATTTATCCTACTCACCCCAAATCAATTAATGATTAGGGGTTTACTTCAGTGTTTTAAGCTGTGCGTGCTTTTAAAGGCTTTTGGGGAAAACATGTGGCAGTTTCAGAGAACAGAATAAGCAACTTTAGTCAACACTCTTCTTTATCCCTGGAAACAGCCTTATGCATAAATATTCATGCTTCTCTGGCAAACGTATTCAAACACAGCAACCAATGCTTCCCACATCTAAGAAAACCATGAACCCCATTTTTCTAGGCAAGCTAAGTTCCAAATATTTTTATTGGCCCGACTATTAATAACATTTCTGATTGGTCATCTGCTGGGCATGTCGCTCTGCCAGCCAATTGATGTTGCTAGGATACCCAACCCTGAGCTAAGCTAAGCTGTTCTAGCTTTCCACCAAAAGGGGGGGGGGACTAAAACAACAGTGACAAAGGGGAACAGAAAAGCTCCTCCCTCACCCCACCCCAATAAACCAGCAATTAACCAAAAGAGAAGACTCAAGAGAAACCAGTGAAAGTAAAGAGTCAGCACAGTTTGCCAGCTAAGCACACCCGGAGCAAACCAGTCGAAGATGGTGTTATCTAAAGAGGAGAGGGAGAAATACTCGGTAACATTTTAAAGCCTATTTGAAAAATCATTTTGGAACCAGAAGGCACCACTCAGCCGCTGCTTCCCCTGTCTACTTCTCAAAGCTACATATTCATGGCTTTTTAAAAGGAAAAAAAAAAAAATTAGCATACTTTTAACCTCTTTGGAATCCTTATTTCACAAACTGCCTACTACTAGCCCAATTTGAGTCTGGATGGATTACTTCCTAAATTATCCTTTTCTTTAATTATTTTTGTGAATGTTAAGGGGCTCAAGTGACTCTCAAATGAGTGAAGCTGGGGGTTATTGACTCCAAACCTAAGGACCATCTTCCTCTAGCCCCAATAAGAAAGGGCTCCATGGTCGTTAAAACTATATTTTCCAATACCGCAGGATAATTAAAGATTGCACTGTGTACACATTCGAACTCTTAAATTCGTGGCATGTGACTGACATTCAGGCCTTGAAGCAGCTACTCTAATAGCCAGACATTCTCTTAGTGACTGTCAGAGAAGAGGAGAAAAAAAAAAATTAAGCAGCTGCAATACGCCTGAAATGAGTTATTGTAATTACATTTAATTAGTTTAATTAGTTAATTATTTTGCTTACAGCTGTACAAGAGACTGCAAACATTTGTTAATATCACATGCCCTTTAACAGTATGGGGTGATTCCACAGTCATAGTAAATCATGAGTGCATATGCAAGAAGATTTAGATGCATTCCTAGTCTGCCTAAGCCTCTCAGGATGAGCATATTTAGCAAAGCATTTGGCACAATTAAAAAAATAATAAATAAAAGGAAACAACTCATAAACCATAGAGAACTGGTAACAAAATTACCACCAAAAAAAAAAAAATCAAACCAAAATGGGGAGGGTGGAATCTCCATGACACAGACTTTAACACAGCTAAACTCAGTTATGAACAAAGTAATAATAGCACACGTTTGAAAGCAGGGCTTCTCAGCCATTTCCACACATCATGATGGCTTGGTCATGTAAGATGCATTTAGAATGGCTACCTTATGCATTATGAGAAAAATGGCTACTGTCAGTGTCTCTCTGATTCTCAATCCTGGTTTCTCATTGAGTTTCCATTCTGCTTAGTCCCAGTTCCTTTTTACTCAGCATGCCCTTTTACCTAATCTAACACCAATAACTGATTACAACAAATGTGTGTGTGTGTGTGTGTGTGTGTGATATAAAATAATGAACTGTCCCAAAGTGAAAGACATCAAAATCTTTGCTTACTTTTGGGAGGAACAATCCATACCTTTTTTAATGACTGACTGGTCCAATAGGTTCATGCCGCTGTTATTGGCATCTTCAACTGACTGTGAATATAAAAACATCACCATTCAAATTGACTGGATATTAAAGAATTGCATACATAAATCATTTCATTCTAAACAGGAGTTTCTATTATTTCCTATTATCTCCAAATCGACATTGAAACAAAACTCACTAAAATGGTAAATTTTCCCAGTAGAAGAAAAAGAAAAAAGAACCTATGAGAGACATCTGGGGTACAGGATTGCCTGTGTTATTGTCTGAAACACAGTTATTACACAGACTTATAAACTTTTAAATCATTTGTCCAAATGAATTGTGAAAAGTTGGCAAGAGCTAAAAGATTTTTTTTTCCCCACCAATATTAGCTAAGAGCAATTTCAGTTTTTCCTTCTATCACAGTGCATTTAACCCCAGAGCCATTTTTACAATACATAATAGTTTACATTATGGGATTTTAATTAAAGCCTGAGCAATTTGGAATGGAATGCAAACAGCAATACAAAAGCCTCCAGGACCTCACACCCACTGCGGTCCACGTAGGTTCCCCTGAGCTATGGGCATCTTGCTCCACAATGACAGTTCCTCCGGGAGCTCCTCCAGCCATGCTGGTACTGCTCTCCACCTGTCTTGGAGGCAGGAACTACAGATACTGGTGCACACACACAAAGGACCGAATCCTCCCAGTCAGCACCTTGCTAACGACAAAGAACATCCATCTTCAGTTTCATCCCATAGATAGAGGGGAAGTTTCAACTCAGAATTGGCAGCACTTCTGAGAGAATAGTTGCTGGAGCCAGTTCCTTGCTGTCACGAAGCATGGGAACTGGCTTTCTAGCTGTGCATTGCAGGGTGTCAAAAAAGCAGATTCTCTTTCCAGCCTCCCCACTCCCAAAGAAAATACCCACTGTCTTTCTGAATCCCACAACTGCTTCTCCTGATCCTTTGGAACTTAAAGTTTGGGCCATTTTGTTACCCACTCCTATAAAGAGGTATAACAAGAAGGGCTTAAAAGTGAGGTGTTTTCCCCCAGCATTTCCTAGCCATTAAGGATGCATCCTTACACAGAGTGTGAGTCCATCACAAGGAAAAGAGAGAGAGAGAGAGAGAGAGAGAGAGAGAGAGAGAGAGTTTCACAAATAAGCAAGCATGGCCTAAGAAATCAGATGTTCTAACCATCTCTGCTCATTTCTTTCTTTTCACTGTCAGTAGTCTGAGAAAGCTGAGGGTGGGGTGTTTCTCCATTTGAACTGTGGTAGACCTCCATACACATCTCAGTAGTGAGGAAGTGTCTTAAAAATACTTCACCAAACTTGTTCGTAAGTTTTCAGGGGGCCCTGCATACACAGGGTTGCGCACACTCAGTTCACCCCTTTTCTAAACTCGTGTGTCTGTGGGCAATGAGTCCATCCAGGACAGAAATATTTGCCTGTGTTAGTGGATGCGAAACCCATCACCTACGGGCCTGGACCCATGAGCCCCCATACCTCACGCTTCTCTTGGTGCGCAAATACGTATCTACGCCTCATCAGCAACGTGGGGTAGTTGTGGTAGTTAATGAGAAGGCTCTTGTCTGATTTTCTATCTAATTACGGCCGCCTGCTGGGTTTTTGTACAGGATATTCACGCAGCATGCTGGCGCTTAATCGTCACAGGGAGGATCGTAAAGATTTAATTAGGACTGCATGCGGAAGCGCAGAAAAACAACTCAGACTCATAATTACTAGACTTCTTTAGTTAAAAGTGATACCAGGGGTTGCTTTAAGACACAAGGGTGTGTTTGAGTGGTGTGTGTGTGTGTGTGTGTGTGTGTGTGTGTGTGTAGGGTTCACTTAGCAGCTTTCTATTTTGATACTCATGGGTGGTAGAGGTGATGGGAGGCTAGAGGGCCAAGCTGTGAAGAACAAGATGCCTACATGGCAACTAAACAAATCCACAACTAGGTGTCTCCTCATTCTCTTTTCCTGTAACCATTTCCCCCTGAGTTTTTAACACTGCCCCTCCTCCCCAATGGGTGAAATGTAGCATACCCGGAACCCAGACAGCGATCTGCTAGTTTAATAGCCCCTGTGAGTAAATTGAAATAGAAATTGACAGGGTTTTATAGTTTCATTTAAAAAAAATATTAGAAGCATTTGGTTAATTAGCTCTCCTTCTTTTCTCTCACAGGGCGGCGGCCTCATGAGTGTGCCTCTAGGTCAAATGAAACCCCCCCCAGTCCTGGACCCATAGGGCCTATGCAGCACCTCTGGCTGTCTGGTCCCTGGCTTCCAGTGTCCTGAATGCACAGATAGGAGAACCTTGAGACAGAACAAGTGACTCTGAAGTCCAGGCCAAACCACTCTGTTGTCACTTCTAGAGACCAGAGGATGCAGTTACCCCCTTGGGTCTTTTGTTGCTTTGTGTGTGGAGACCTGGCAGCTTCCATATCTGTACTCTAGATCCAGAACATGGCAGTGGACCCTAACAAGGGTAGCAGGAACTGATCAGTAACATTTCTGGATCCTAGGTACATACCTTCTCCTTCCTTCTCTCTGCCATCTCAACCTTGCCCTAACCTCAGGAGTTCTATCAGTGAGACCACACTGAGCCCATACATAGCTATTTCACCTTTGAGGCTGGCGTGGGATGTATTCCTAGTACTCTTCACACTTAAGGCTGTTGTTGGAGAAGATCCCAAAGGCCTTCCCATGCCGGGTTATCAGCTGGGGGGAAGAAGAGGGAAGCAGAGATCGCTCTCTATTCCCACAGTCTCTGAGCAAACTGAATCAGCTCAGGCATCATCCTGGGGTTTTAAATCTTAAATGCTCTAAATCCATCAAGTTGTTTTGATTATTACATTCTCCCAAAAGCACTTCCGTGGCCTTGTTTTGTCCTCTCCCTTTGCATTTAGCTAAACACCCCAAAACAAAACAAAACAAAACAACAACAACAAACTTAAGGAAAACATTCTAAAAGCAAAGAAAATTTCTGTCTATTTTTTAGAGATATTCCAGGCTCAATTGCCTGAGTTCCTCGGTCTGCAGGGTGGTGGTAGAGGTCGTGGGTGATGTTAATGTCCCCAGTGGCGATGGGGATGTGCAGTGGTAGCCAGGGTAATGGGGGGACATGTTCTTGGTCTACCTTCATTATTCAGTACTTTGAACCGTACTCAGAAAGGTTAATTTAAAACCTCCCCCCATGCATATTATTCCAATGCATTAACAACAACAACAACAACAAAAAACATCAATATTTCTTTTCTTATATGGTATTCTGAAATCAGCAAATACCTCCAGATAGGCACAGTTCAGTAAAATCAACAAAACAATCACTCTTGGCACAGTGGGTGAATCCAGCCACAGATCAGGTGATTTCTTCCTTTATAATAACAAGGTTCCTCTAAAACAATGAGCCACCATGGACCACAAGATAGTGTTTGGTGCTGTCACCACATTTTGATTGATCTTAATTTTTTTTTTAATTTTATTTTTCCTAGCAATGAGAAAGGACTTGGCTACCTTCTCTTTTTCATTTTGTTTTTCTTTGCTTCGGAGGTAAGTCCACAGTGATGCATAACAAATTCAACTATGCCAATGAGATCCAAGTGTCAATTAAATGCTTTACAACAATATTTATCTTTTCTGGAGACTTTTTAAATTTGGCTGGGTAGGTGAAGCAGAACTGTTCAGAATCACCCTGACAGTATTTAGGAATCGTTTCTTTGATGTTTCTTGGTTTAGTTTAACTAAATATTCTTATCCAAGTCAGCCTCCATTGTGTAGGCTGCAAATGGGATACCGGGTGGGTAGGGAGTGTGTTTTGAACCTTTTGTTTTAAGAAATAAACACGTGATACCTCTCCAGAGAGGAATAGTAACATTGGGCAGGGGTGACAACTAGCGTTGCTTTACGGTCAATTATTGGCCCTCAAAGAGACGAAATTTCCGAAATGCTGCTTGTCCTCAGGCACTGCGGAACCCAATGGCAGCTCTCCCGGTCGGTCCCTAGCGAAGATCCGCTTGTCAGGTGGCGGCTCTAGAATTCTGTTGTGGGAAAGGAGCTCCGCAGCTTTTGGAAATTCAAAGCAAAGGGGCCTTAAACAAACACAGCTAAGGACTCTCCTGCCGAGCGCATTGTCATTCTCAGCACAGCTTTGCAAACCAGAGAGAGCACCTGGAGCCTGCAGGGGCCCTTTCGCCCTCTTAGAGCTCTGCTCTCTAGACAGCCAGCACTTTGCCTACCAAGCCAGAGGGACAGCCTCACTGTGGGGGTACTCCCATTTCGCCAACTTCTCCATACAAAACAATAGAGAATGCACAAGTACAGTCGCTGAGTAAGGATAAAAAACATTAGCCTTCATGGCAACGACTGAGAACTATCGCGAAAGTATTTCCCCCTTCAATATTTAATTTCCAGCCGTCCTGTCATTCACAAACGGATCTCTAGAAACCGCCACTTTCTAGCCACACACTCAAACACAAAGTTTCGTACGGTCCGGTCAGTCCGGTTCTAAGGACAACAACTGCTCCCACCAGAGAAGACCAGCGCGTCCCTCCCGCCTCCTCTTCGCTCCCCCGGCATTCTTCTTTTCTTATCTTTTACGTTTGTCTTTTGTTTGTTTCGAATTACCTGTACGTCTTCCATGCCAGGATGCCCAAGGCCGTGCAAGGAGAGGCTGTCGCCCATGCCGGCGTCCAGGCCGTGGTGTGCCGAATGGAGCAGCACGTCCGGCCGGCGGACAGAGTGGTAGTCCCTTCGGGGGTCAAGGCCAGAGAGCTGGGGCAAGGCTGCCCGGGGCTGGGGCAGGAGAGAGCCGGCTTCTGAGCCCACCTCTTGGCGCTGTCGTTGTCCCCAAGGGTGCTGCTGGGGCTGGTGCAGAGGGTTCAGGGAATAGGGGTCGTTGACATGGGAGTAGGGGTCTTGACTCTGGTGGTAGGGTAGCGGTTGGTAGGGGGGCGGGAAGTAGGGTGGCTGAAAGTCCGAGGATGGTGTGTGGGACAGCGGCGGGGCGCTCGAGTAGGGCCCTTGGGACACAGAGCCCAGCTGAGACAGTCTCGAGCTATGGCTTGGGACGCCATCGTGCCGGTCCTGGGAGGAGAGAGGACAGAAGGAAAAGAAGAAGAAAGGCGAGAGAGAGAGAGAGAGAGAGAGAGAGAGAGAGAGAGAGAGAGAGAAGAGAGAAGTTCGGTTTCTGTAGAACTTTCCCAAGATAAGTGAAACACCAAAGAGTCTAAACCTTAGACCCCAAGCTGACTCAGGGCCACATGGTAATATGTCAACAGTTCCATACGGGAAGCCTGAGGAGACTTAACAACAACAGAAATGGGAAGCTTACCCACTACCCGGCCTAAGAGCCATCTTTTGAGAGTGCAAAGCAGGTAAAAGGGAGAGGAGAAGGAATCGTGTGTGGACAGAGAGAGCTTTGAGCAGCCTTGATTTAGGAGAAAAAAAATGAAGGACTCAAGCGGTGGTTGTTTTTCTAAGTGTTTCTTGCCTCTTCTATAGATCCAAAGTACAGCAAACGCAACTTCCTAATAGCTGTGGTGCTGTGGTGGTTGAAAAACCAACTTCTGCCGCCACTGGCAGGTAGCTGGCTGACCCTGGGGGCTCACACAAGCAGGAGATTCCCAGAGCAGGAAGGAATCTGCCTGATCGGAGCTTCCAGCAACCCCTCCCTCCCCATGAGGAATTAAATAACTTAGTGTTTGATTGAAATGGATCTCCTCTGAAATCACACCCTAAGCCCATGTTAAATTGAGTTGTGGTTTGCAGGAGTTATTTCTAAGCTTGCCTTCCATATCACATGCTATTATACTCAGGGTGTTAGAATGAGGAGTTGAGGTCGGGAGGGAAGGAGATGCCCCTCCACCCCCAAAACACACCATACCCTCACTCCTCTCCGGAGTGTAAGCCAAGGGAAAGAAGGGGGCAGAAGTGCAGGATACTTAAAGTTTCTCCCCATCCTTTTGTGAAAATGGCCAGTGGCAAAGGCCCCTGCTTCTTCCTGTGGACACAGCCTTCTAAATTTCCAAACTGCCTTGACAAATAAAAAGTTTTTCAGTTCAGCCTCACCCCCTCCCAGCTGACTCTCGGAGCTCAGACAGGGAACACACAGGGCAGAGAGAAGCAGCTGCAGCCTCCTCCAATTATGGTGCTAAATTACCAAGCCAAAGGCACTCAAAGGAAGACGGAGAGACAGAGGGAGGACACGCGCACACACAGAGAGACGCAGAGACAGAGAGACTGCGAGAGGAGAAGGCATGCACTTCTGGTACAACGGGAATCTGAACTCACCATGGATGAGTAGGTGTGGACTAACATCTGGGAAAAAAAAGCCTGGTTACTGCTCAAAATCAAACAATGAATTTTCAAAAATCAAGGAGTCCAGCAGAGAAGCGAGCTGGACATAGGAGCTGAGCTTGAGGTGTTTCCAGGACAAGCCATCCAAGAAAAAAAAAAATCCCCCTCCAAGAAGATTGGAGGTGCCTGTCATAGACAGGCTGAACCGTTCATCTGTCTCTCACTGTCTTTTTGGCCTCTTTCTTCGGCGGGTTCTTTGGGGGCTCCACAAACAGTCCTCTTCCACCCGAAGCTGGGCTCAGACTGCTCGGGCGCCCCTTCCTCCCTCCGCTTGCCTACACCGCCTCATAATAATTGATATTCATGACTATTAATATTACACGAGTACTTTAAAGGGAGAATGGAGGACAAATGGAGCGTGAAGCAGCAGCGAGCTCAGAGCTCCTCCACTATTGTAAATGACGTTCATTCAGTGGAGAATTACTAGATGTAATCAGACCAGGGGGCTGGCGGAGGCAGACTGGGGGAAAAGTTTAGCAGGAAAGAGGCAGAACTTCAATTAACTGAGCTGGGACGCTCGCTTGCTCTCCCAAGGCAGCCTCCTGCTCTCTGGATTCGGCGGTGTGGGGGAGCCAGGCTGGGGGCTCCCAGAGAATGTAGGTGTTCTTGTATACAGAGGGAGACTTTCCCAACAGCAGGGGAGGAGGTGGTGGCCCTGGGTGCGTGGTGTGAGGTTTAAAAACCAAACTAGGAAGGCCTTGCCTGGTCATCTGGAGGGGAGAGAAAAGTAAATGGGTGGGCCTGTTTGTTTATGTTCTACTGCGAGCCACACCGACTTTTTCTGTATGCAGAGGATGAGGCTTTTTCTTTCTTTCTTTCTCTCTCTGTCCCCTCCCTCCCTCCCT